AGTTACAGTTTCGACAAAGTTTTATCTACCAAATCATCAAAATAAAAAATTCTGTCAACTTTTCGGAAAGCTAAAGCGTCGTTTCATCCGATTCAAAATAATCTTTCTTCCTTTACCCACAGCCTCAGCATGGACTGCCTGATGTCTTCATCTCAATGATAATGGACGACAGAAGAATTGGGTTCGCCGGAATTCCAGCGCGCGACCTCTACTTTTCTGTCTGCGAGCCGGAAAGAGGAAAGTGGGCCGGTCAACTGGCCACATTTTTCATTCGGGTAAGCCAATAAGTTGTATCTTCAAGTAGTAGTCACGCAAAAACAAAGTGATGCCATTTTTGGTGTGCATATTCCCATTCTCTTGGCAAAATGCCACTAATAGACTAAGAAAAGTTTTTTTAATTCATAGTCTGATTTTACATTGTTGAGCTGACTTCTATTTGAAGTGAATGCGTCTGATGAAGAGATTCGCTTAGTCCGATTCCATTTGGCCATCTGTACTTTATACGAAGAAAAGTTGGGTTTCGAGGAATGCATTGTTTCATAATTGTTGAGCTTACCTCCATTTTGAGTGAAAGTGTTGCGTGAAGAGATTCGAAGGTCGGTTCCACCCTAACACGACGGCGGATTCCTCTTGACCAGCTGTCGTTTGGCTTTACTGGAAGATTCATGTTGATGATGTTTCCGAGGCAATCTCGTTCGATTCCGGTGAAAAGGTGCTAAGCTATCGTCCGTCGCATGACGGACATCATCAGAGCGAGGTAACATCGTCACACCAAAATTGAAGCTTACGAGTCAAGAAATCTCACCGGCAAATCCCTAAAAAGTGGTACACATACTCTACATCTGACCTCTTTGATCAAGTATAAAATGATTTGGTTAGTCAAGGTCATATGTCAATTTCCGACGTCGTCTTCTGGTGGAACCGACCTTCGAATCTCTTCACCCCCAACCCTTGCACTCGAGATGGAAGTAAGCTGAACAATTATGAAAGAAGAGATTCCTCCAAACCCAACTTTTCTTCGCATAAGATGAATCAGCCGCCATCTTCTGGTGGAACCGACCTTCGAATCTCTTCCCGCAACGCTTTCACTCGTAAGGGAAGTAAGCTGAACAATTATGAAACAAGAGATTCCTCGAAACCCAACTTTTCCTTGTATGCATTATTTACTTTGCGTTAATATGTAGGATTTTGTGACTACCGCTGCAGTCCACCCTGGATGAGAACACCTTTTGGATAAGCAAGGCTACGTGAAATTCAATGGAAACGCAATTCATATTCATAGGATTGTGAGAAAATGCAACTACCAGTTCTTCATCACATCACACGAAATAGGGCAAACACCTCTCACAGATATTGTATTTATTGGTTGTCTAGACAACCTATTTAAAAAGGAACTCCGTCAAACTGATGCCAGAGCCTTGGCATCAACAGCCTCCCAAAATGCTGTCCAGAGGAGGTGCAACCCTCGGAAGCATAACCGAACTCACAAAGATCTTGGTTGTCTGTCCGCCAGGCAAGCGGTGCCGCACAAACGGACCTCTTTCTTGGACCAAAACCATCGGCCGACAAAACCGACGACGACGTGTAATGGCGACAGGAGCATAAACTTGGCGCGTCTACGTTGTGGCAGTTGGCGAAGACTCGGCGAAAAAGACGTAGCGCCAACATTGCAATCAGCAGCATCATCAGTTTTCGTACGACCAGACCATTTCTCTATGACTCAGAACGGGCATGGCGGAGACGCGTCTAGAGCCATCCACGTGGCAGTGATATTGGGTTGCCATGGCCGAATCTAGGCATTCGATTGTGACTCATCCTGCGGCGTCCTCGAAGCTAGTCCAGACAATCTTCGGAGGCAGGCACGTCTCTGGTGGTGGCGAGAGGAAGAGTGTGTAAAGCGAAAGCACTACTCATTTGGGAAATAAGTAGTTTTCCATAGTTTACACTGAGCCTTGAACACAAACTCGCCAGCTGGGTCGTTTGGGCCGATTCAAGCTGTGCTTTTCGCCTTTTTTCCCGCAACCTCACGACTAGACCTTCGGTTGCCATGCGATTTGCCTTACTGAACCCCAGGCGAGTGTCAATGTATCAGCGGGCAGCGGCGCTATTGGCAACAAGCAATGCCCATCTAAACTGACCTTGTTGGGATTACTTCCATTTCGAGTAGAAGTGTTGGGTGAAGAGATTCGAAGGTCGGTTCCACC